AGGAATAAAATGATAAAAATTAATAAGATAAACATAATAAAATAAAATATAAAAAAAATATTAATATATTTATTTTATTAGATATAACAACATAATTAAAATATAATTAATAATATATATTTTATATAAAAAAAATGAAACTGGAACGGCCCGTTCTGAAACTGGAACGGGCCATTCTAGTTTCACTTTTGGTGTGTTAATTTTGCACCTGGGCCGTTCCGGGTGCATAATTAACACACCAAAAGTGCAACCAGAACGGTTCATTCCGGTTTCAGAACGGACCGTTCTGGGTCCAGGTGTTTTCAAAAAAATTTCGTGGCATCCACGTATGCATCTACGTGGCATCCACGTATGCATCTACGTGACATCCACGTGGCCAAAAGTTAATTCCGTTTAAATAATTTGGACGGAAGTCCCAGATTGAAACCAATTAATTAATTTGAGACTAAATTGAAACCAATTAATTAATTTGGGATCAAATTGAAACAAAAAATAAAAGTGAGATTAAATTGAAACAAATAATTAATATAAGGGACCAAAATAGGTTTTTAGGCTAAAGATTAAAAGATAACACTAAGAAAATGTTAAGAACTTAAAGATAAAAAAATAAAATTACATATTAAAATAAGACAATTATATTTATAGAAACTTTGGAAGTGAAAACGTATTTAAGGTTTTTTTATATAAATTAATGTTTGTTTGTTACTTTGTTTAATCTAATTTTGAATAAATAATAATTATTATACAAATTAACGATATTAATCAATCAGTGTATTTAAATTAAATTAAATTTAAAGATAAATTTCTTAATTCCATAATCAATCCTTGGAGAAACCCTCATCACTCATCACTGCAGCTCGCAGCTCGCAGCTCGCAGCACACGCCTACAGTCAGCACACTCGTCCCCGTCGTCCTCCATAGACACGTCTCGCCGGAGCGTTGCGTCGTGTTAGGTACCCTCTCTTTTAGTTCCCTTTTCTCGTCTCTCAAGCTGATTCTGTTTCTCACTATAGGGTTCTGGACATCAAACTTCAAACCTTCTTCTGTCAATTAACCCACAATACATACCAGCACAACAACAAAAAAAACCCCAAATTAATGCCTTTTTTTCTTTTGCTTCATCCAAATTATTGTTGAAACTAAAAAGGGGTGATTTTGTCCGTCGAAATTAGTGGCTTTTCTTTTTAACACAACCCGTGGTTTTGATGCATCTCATATTTTCTAATTCACCGCTTGCGGGTCCCTAGTCTTCCAAATTCTGTAATTACATCCTCTTAATTGTGAAATGTTTGTATCTGTGTTGAACCAATTGTGACTTCTCCATACATTGGTTCTGTTTGATAAAAATCTACCTCATTGACCTGTGGTTTTGAGCACCAACATTCTTTTCACACACTTTAAGTGAGAGGATGAGGTATGCTTTCTATAGCTACATGGGCTGTGAAGTGTAAACTCTAAACCGATTGTGTATACTTGAATCGGCATCTTTAGGGTTTGCTGTTTCAAAGTGGATTTTGTGAGGACACGGAGTATGAAACTATGGTAACCATATGTATAATCTGTAGAGTTGGATTGGAATATGTTTTTAATGTATCAGATCGTTTCTTTGGAATGGAAACGAAAATAGAAGAAAATTGAGCATAAGTAAGGAATTGGATTGATGTAAAACAATAAACTCTGTTGTACAAGTTACTTTGAAAGTAGTCTTGTACAATGCTGTAAATGGCCATGTTTCTTCTCTAGATAATGTAGGTGTTTGTTGAGTAAATTTAATTCTATCTTTCTGTTAACATAGTTGTTTTAAGTTGCAAGCTATTTTGGTATAAAAATAAAATAAAATTAGAGGTTCAAGTGTTGATGTGGCCAATTATGTCACTCTTGCATAAATTGTTTACTATAGATTTGGGCATTAGGATATTTTCAAAAATAATAATTTAGCATTGGTAGTTGATATTGTTGTTTAGCTTAGTGTTTAGAATTTAAGCACTCCGATTTTGACATTTTTCTATTGTACTTTGTTCAAGATTATGTCTTGGTTATTATTGCATTAATTTTTATTTTTCCTAAGTTGTGATATGTTCAAACACCGTGAAGCAACAACTGAAACACAGAACAAACAGAATTCATTGGGATTATTTATTGTATGGATGTTTGATTGTGTTGTTTAATTGTATTTTGAACTTGTAGGGCTAAGTGCCAAGTGCTGAAGCTGCTGATATTGTGACTTGTTGGTAAAGATGAGACTGCTAACACATAACATGCTGTCATCGAACATTAAGGGTGTGGTGAATGGATTTCCATTGCGCATTGAAGCAGAGAAAGTGGTGGAAAAGACAGTGGAAATGAACGGTGAGTTTCTGAAAAAGATGTTTGAGAAGATTGATTGGAAGGCTTTTGTGGATGCATCGCGGGCCATGGGATACACTGAACTACCTGAGGAGGCTGACTCTTCCATGCTGGATTCTGATGAGTTTTTGAACAGGTTTCACCATGCTCTCTTGGAACTCCACCTTGAAGAAGGCGCCCTTGTTTGCCCCGAGACTGGAAGACGCTTTCCCGTTAATAAGGGAATTCCAAATATGCTTCTTCACGAGGATGAGGTCTGAGTTTTGCTATTAATTATCAGCTTCACCTGTTTAGTGGCACTAGGTTTTTTGACTCCAGTTAAGAATGTTGGTGATGGAACTGAATCAGAATTTATAGTTGTGGGTGTCAAGTTTTTAACAAATGTATTTGGCTGGGCTATTCTTGGATAGTTTGATTATTCCCAATTTCACGTTATATTAAACCGCAGCAATAGCGTAAGGCTTTTATTTTATTTGTATGTGTTTCTATTACTATCTCCTACCTTTTGTATTGATGCCAGTTGTTCTTGAATGAGTGTTTATTTCCCCTCTAGAACATGTCTTATGCCCACAAAGCATACTTTTCTGAAGGCAAACTAAGATACATATCAATATCTGTTAAGTCTGATAGTTTTGCCTAGATAATCCCTCAGCTGAAAAAGCATACGCTGGATGGGTTGGATGTTGCGTCTAGGTTGTTCAGATGAAACAGGTTTCACGTTGCTCATAGATTGATGAGAAAATGAAATGTCATTCTAAAAAATTTAATTCAAATATTTCCTTTGTTTTATGATACAATAATGTTATTTCTGACATAAATAGCAGTCTGGAAGTCCATCACCGACACACACTTTCAAAATGGAGATGTCATGCTATTTTTAACTGTTTAATTGAGAAATTATATGTTTAAGTTTAACCTCCAACAGGCAACAACACATTCTTTTCTTTCATCATCTTCGCACCAAAGACTGCGCTTGAGCATAAGTTACATTTATGAATTATTTGGTAACGACTGAAAGAGTGGCCTGTTACGAGATTGGAATTTTGATGGTAATGGATTAGTGAAGAAGAAGACTAAGGACTTCTATTGTGAAATAGTTTTTTCCTTTGATTGAAAGAGAGGGATTCCTTTTGGGACACCTTGGAGCATGAGATATGGCTCTATTACAGTATTACTACCTTAAATTTGTTGTTAGTTCAGCTGAACCGTACCGTCGGTTCTCTTGTAAAAGAGTGAAAGCATTTGGGATGTTACCATGTTCTACTTGATAGCAGGCCTTTTACCATTGGTTTTTCTATCTCACTATAAATTTATAATTAGATTTAAAACAATGATCATTTAAAGTAGTTTATAGGAAGTTGGCATGAGGCTAAAATATTAATGACGGATAAAAAGTGATATTATGATCATTTATAATTATATAATGATGTAATTTTTTTTATAATATTAATGTATGAATTATTTATTCTCAAAATCATATTACGCGGACATTTTATAGTATCGGTGTAATATTATTTATTCTTAAAATTATATTACATAAACACAGTAGGATATTGTTTGCAGTTAAATCTAATGTCGAATTGTTTTAATTTTTTTAACAAAAGCACTTTCAAGAAGAAATGTGTAATGACTTGATAGGTTATTACACTTAACGGTTCAACTATTAGTAGTACAGAAATATAACAACTACTTAAGATTCACATAATTATAAAACTTGGATATACATGTCATAATATATATACGCATACAAACACGTATGCACACACAACTAAAAGTATATATGTATAACTAAAAGTTTATCAATTACTGAATCATAAAACAAGTATAAACATATACATGGTAATCATGTACTAAAGTATAAAAAGAAATTATAATTGTCAGTCAAACAACACTACAACAATTAACTACTCTAAAGTAACTCAAGATTGATATTACCAGCATCAATATGGCCTCAAAACAAGCTTCAACCTATCCTTGTTCTACTATTATATTAAGTATGACCACCGTAGTTCAATCACATGGAAAACATACAAAGGTAAATAGTATTCAAAAATAGACAAAATAAATAGTATAAAAGTAGGAGTTTCAACCCTACTAATATAAATAACTGGACAACCTTATCCACACATCATAAACTATATCAACTCCTCCATATACAACACTATCAACCTATCATGTAATAGCACAACACACTAATCAACTAGAGCAACACGTCACATGACATATGCATCATACAACTCAACAACTTAACCAAATAGGCACAACAATCAACTACATATGCATAAAATTAACTACAGGTATTGTCACGTATTTTAATTAGGGGATCTTCTACAATATCAAGGAAACCAAGAAAGAAAGAAAAAGAGAAGGGATAAGGTTTGAGCAATTCTAAAGCTCTACACCAAACTCAAATTCTTGATTGCATTAATTTTGAATCATCGACAAGCTACTAGACTATTAGCTCCTAATACTTTTGGGGTTAGAAAAAAAAAAGTTTAAAATTCTAAAATTTCTCTCTCTAATTTATCACTCTAGGATTTTTAATAATCAACTTATAAAATTCAATTCTTAAAAAAAAGTATATACTCACCCCCTAAAGTCAAACTCAACTTTTATTCAAAAACAATCCTTTAAATAATTAAAAACTTATAAGAAATCTCTTAATTTCATAACTTGTCAATATAAAAATAACAAATTAATACAACAACATATATCTTATAAAATCAATAACAATACTAAAATGAACAGTATTACAAAATACATTAATTAAATAAAAATCAATAAAATAAAAATTTAAAAAACATAAAAAAATTTAACGTAACTATTTTTATATTTTAAAAATATGACAAGATAAATTAACTAAACTTGTTAAGTATGGTGAAATGCAGTTGTATAATTGATAGAGCACACAAGAGAATTGAAGCATGTAATTCCATAATGCAGGAAAAAGAAAAAGGTAGTGTTTATTTATGAAAATGAATTTGTTTAATTTAGTCCTTCTCCTTGAGTTGGCATCACATGAGCGAGAAGAGTAAAGAAGAAAGAAAGCAATGCCTGCGATGGCCAAGAACGCCACCTTCTCCTCCCTTCCAAGGCTCTTCCTATCATTCACCATTCTCTCCATTCTCTCCCTCGCCCTCTACCTCTTCTCCTCCTTCCCCACACCCACCATCCTCCACCCTCCATCCCTCTCCGCCTCCGCCTCCGCCTCCGCCATCAACGTCTACGTCGCCGACCTCCCCCGATCCCTCAACTACGCCCTCCTCCAACGCTACTGGTCCTCCTTCTCCGACTCCCGCCTCCCCTCCGATCACGATCACGATCACGATCACGATCACGATCACCTCTCCCCCCACCGCACCGCCGCCTTCCCCCCCTACCCCGACAACCCTCTCATCAAGCAGTACAGCGCCGAGTACTGGATCACCTCCGACCTCATGACCCCTCCGCAGCACCGCGCCACCTCCTTCGCCAAACGCGTCCTCGATCCCTCCCAAGCCGACGTCGTTTTCGTCCCCTTCTTCGCCACCCTCAGCGCCGAGATGCAGCTCGGCGCCAACCGAGCCGCCTTCCGGAAGAAGCTCGGCAACGAGGATTACCGGAGACAGCGACAAGTCATCCAAGCCCTCAAAGCCACCCACGCCTGGAACCGCTCCGGCGGACGCGACCACGTCTTCGTCCTAACCGGTGCGTTTTCCAATCCCTTTTCTGCCAAACGCCGTTTCGCTTTCCGCGTTGTGATTTGTTTTAGGTCTTTGAATTTGTCAGGGTATTAAAACTGAAGCCTTGTTTGGCAGACCCCGTCGCCATGTGGCATGTCAAAGACGAAATTGCCCCTGCTGTTTTGCTTGTCGTGGATTTTGGCGGCTGGTATAGGCTTGACTCCAAGGCTTCTAACTGTACCCAAAGTGGTGTGGTTCCGCACTTGCAGGTTTCTGTGATCAAAGATGTCATTGTGCCATACACTCATTTGCTACCCAGGTTGGACTTGTCTGAAAACAAGGAGCGGGACAACCTTCTGTATTTCAAAGGAGCTAAACATAGGCACCGGGTTAGTGTATTTCATGTTATGTAGATCTTTCATATTGTGGCAAGTTGTACCCAGATGACTGCAGTTCCCAGAGCCTTTATATTCTTCTGACTTGTTAAGTGTAGATCCACTATATATTTTATTGTAAATAGACACTGATAATTCCTTTGTATAGTCATCCGACAGACATATGCTTATGCTGGTCTTTCTAATTGTGTAAAGCTAACACTATATCTGTTCCATGCTTATCTCATTGGCAAATATTTCATTTTACAGGGTGGTCTAATTAGAGAGAAGTTATGGGATCTATTGATTAACGAGCCTGGTGTTATAATGGAGGAAGGTTTCCCTAATGCAACTGGGCGGGAGCAATCAATAAAAGGGATGAGAGCATCAGAGTTTTGCTTGCATCCAGCTGGGGATACACCCACTTCATGCCGACTTTTTGATGCAATACAAAGTCTTTGTGTACCTGTCATTGTCAGTGACAACATTGAGCTACCATTTGAAGGTATGGTGGATTATTCAGAATTTTCTGTTTTTGTAGCAGTTAGTGATGCACTGAAACCAAGCTGGCTAGTCAATCATCTTAAAAGATTTTCAAAAGAGCAGAAGGACAGGTTCCGCCAAAATATGGCTCGGGTACAGCCCATTTTTGTCTATGATAATGATCAACCAGGTGGTATTGGACCAATACCTGTGGATGGTGCAGTGAATCATATATGGAAGAAAGTTCATCAAAAGCTGCCAATGATAAAAGAAGCCATAATTCGAGAGAGAAGAAAGCCTCCTGGTGTTTCAGTTCCACGCCGTTGTCACTGTACTTGAATTTAAGGACTTCTTTCTGTTTTTAATCTTTTAAAGGAGCAGATATATGGGTTATTGTTTGGTTCGATTTTTTGTAGCATTTGAGAGAAAAAAAAAGGTGATTGTCTTTTTTTTTTTTGGAAGGAGAGGGGGTATTAAATTAAATCTTTAGATAGTGGTCACCTGTGTGAATGGTGTAGGAGAAGTTAGTTGCCACTGACCGTGGTTAACGTTACTTGGTATTTCATTTCACTTCATTCTTGTTGCACCTGAATTGATATTTTTCCATGGTTCCCTTTGTATTGTAGTCTGATAAAATTTTCAGTGAAATGTGAATCGATAATGATTATTGTTTACTATTCAAGTTGCCAATTTCTCTTTTACAAGTTCTCTCTGCAACTGAAGGGTTGGATGCAATTTATTCAACTATCAGTGGACTCAATTGTGTGCCTAGCTTTTTTTTATGAAACAACTTAAGAATCAAAGTATTATGAAAACTTTATGCAGCATGTTCGTAGCTTGAACTTGAATTATCACTAATATACCATAAATAATGTAGTTTTGACGTTTCCTTGTAATAATAAATATGGATTCCTGAATAGACTTTAACTAAATAATGAGGACATAGTACAATCTTCCAGTGGCTGTTGTGAAGCTGTCTGTGAACGTGAAGAAGGCACAAGACACTCCCAACATAACTAGAAAGATAATCATTAACCAGCGATTCAGCGTGCTGCAGGCGCCATTTGTTAGTATAGGTGCAAAAATGCTGAAGGCAAGGGTGGTGACTGTGGGTAAGAGAACATTGAGCCTAGCAATGCCACTCTGTATTGCATTGATAACATGGAAGTAATAAGATTCATCCATGCCATAATCATCCTCTCTCAGTATCATAGTGAATAGCCATGTCTTGGCTAGTTGAGTTGTTTATATCCACAAAGCAGCTATCAGAAATGGAATTCCGAAAGATGAGGTTCAGGATATATATGTGGAAAAGGAGATGAAGTTTGCGACAGACCTAAAGTGCATGTGTAATGAGGATATGTTCAACATTTAAGTAAAGGAAACAATCTATTCTGTGTCACTCTAGACCCTTTTTTTTTTTTTTTTTTCGAGGTTCTTTGGAATGAAAATATTTGTAGGAATACACCTTTCCTTCTACAGCAATAGCTTTCGGCAGGAATTTGCTTTCAACTTGGGCAATGTTTATGCCTGTGCATGTCTGCATGACTGTGACTATAACTAACTGCATGTAAAATGTAGTTTGGAGAAACATTTGAACTGGGATAATGCCTATTTGTACAACTGTGTGCCACTATAGATAAATAGTGTGAAGAGCACTTCCCTTAACATTTTGTTTAAATATTTAAAATAATAATTTTAATTACGAGTCTAATTTCCGTACACTGTTACTGTTGGTATAAAAATACTTACGGTGATATTTAATAAAAAATTATTTTTATATAACATTTAAAATAATTGTTATAAAAGTCAACAAATTAATATTATATGGAGATAAGTGATTAGATGACATTTATAAAATTATTTGATATTATCACTGTATTTAATTAATTTTTTAATTATTAAATTAATAGCTTTTTTTAGTTACCACGGGACAGCAAATAATTTGGCACTTTCGACGTAATAACGTTGTCGTATGGAAATGATAACGTGCTTTGGATTTAAAAGATCCTGAAAATAAACTTGATTGAAATATAATATTTTGAACAAATTACTAAATTAACTTTGACGATACAGTTAATATGGAAATTCAACATTAAAAAATAAAAAACAAAAAACACGTGAAATTAATTAGCCTAACCCATTGTATTGCCTAGCCTAAAAATATACAATTACCAAAGCGGCTTTAGTGGCAAAAATCTGACCAGAAAACAATGTCTACTTAAAAAGCATTTAATTTAAAATTAAAACAAAACACTTCAGAAAAAGGTTTAAGGATTTTTCACATAAGATTTCATACTAGGATCACAATAATGAATAAAGAATTTTTTTTCCGTTAAATTGATATATCATTTTGAAGTATGTGTAAATAAAATATCTTTGAAAAAAAATCATCCCCATGACTTTCGCATTTATTACTGTTCTTACCAGAATCAGGTCGTCCCTTCAAGTCAAATTGATCATCTTCTCATCTTAGTCTCACAAGAAATCATGAAAGATTGGTTTTCGAGGTTGGTCTTTAAAATTGGTCGTCATTCTTCAAGCGTCTCGGATGTACTTGTAAAAAAGACTCCGACGATCAAGTTAATTGTCAGATATGTTTCATGTCTTCGTTATATCAGTACCTGTTCCATGTGGTTGTTTCCGATGTAACTGTTATACGGTTATTTTTTGAGGGTTACTAACAGTTAAGTTGATCGTTATTATTATAAGTTATGTATCTGATGTCGTCAATATGCCAAGATGTACTACCAATGTCATACGTCCAGTCCAACATGTTTATTCTCCACATCACCTTGACATTTCATGTATTCACTCTAATTTGACCGAGTTATCATCTTGGTCAAATTAGATCATAATCTTGGTTAAGCTCGGCTTTAAGTTAGGTCGGTACATACCAATCATTACTTTTGCATTTAAAATTCTTCTAAAGTTCAACTTAAGAAAACGAAAATAAAAATAGTAATTAATCATCCTACTCTAAAACAGTTTGAATCATTTGAGTTAACTTAGTAGTGAGAAATTCAAATAGATGTCCTTCACTGTCGTTGTAATTTCTCCTACTAATAAAAATAAAATAAAATTGCGCGTCAATAATTAAAAACTAATTCCTCTCAAAGATTGATTACTCTAAAACAGTTGAATCCATTGTTTTTACTTCTTACTGCGAAGCTCATTTAATCTAATTAATTTCCTCAAGTTGGATTTGACCATATATCACAGGCCACCCAAAGTCACTCCATGAACCCATTAACTAGTGATGAAACTTTGACGAAAAAACATAATTAAAAGAGATGAATCATTGCTTATGAATCTGTGATATATGCCCCCTTTTTCTGATTTAGCCCTTCTTGCCCAACCCCATAACTGGAGCTACTCCCAACTGAGAAGGGTTTAAATCTATATAAATCATTTTTGAAAAGAAAAATGTTACTAAGTCAAAAGGATTTTATAACTTTTTTTTTATAATATAGCATATTTCTCCATCCAACCTTATGATTGCCATACTCTTATTATTAGTTCCTTTTTAGTATTTCCTATCACTTTAATCTAATCTAATTTATAACATATTTCTTATCAAATTCTAACTTGCACTTTTTATACCATGTGATAGTAACACTACTGTTTAAAGAAATAGTAATAACAGGCTGTTAAAAAAAACAATTTAAAGCGTGTGCTTTACTCGAGTCCACAAAGGGCCAAAAGAAGAGAGAGAGAAATAGGGGAGGGGTATATAGCGAAGCTAGCAACTGTACTTTTCATTGATTAAATAAACCTTTACATTTACCTTAGGCTTTACAAAAATTTACTCATCTCATACTCGGAGAGGATGGACCTGTAAATGACAGCATCCCTAGAAATTCTCTAAAAAATTGCAGAATAGCAGGGCTAGGTTTATAATCAATATGGCTGTCTATATACAGTGCTAACTACATGCATAAATTTTCTTCTTTCTTTTTTGAGAAATAAAATCAAAATATTTGGACACAGAAACCACTTGGCACTGTTGTGCTAGGGCTTTTGCTGGGAAGGGTCATCTTCACCTGAGCAACAAAGTTTGCAAGGATTGGAGGATTTCTGAGAACACCAGTGATCTGGAACACTCAAAAAATATGTAGACATAAACTTTCTAAACCTCTTTTTGTATTCTTTAGGAGAGATTACAGTTGGCAACACATTTTTTGGCACAACAAGTGAAGACTTCATCCATGTCTCAAGATGTTTGTCCCAAGTATACTGCCTTAGATAATCAATGATCCCGCAGACTAGCTCGCGCTTCTGAGAATCTACTCCAACAAGCAAGGAGTAATCCATCACATTGATTGACTGCATATTGAGCAAACAACGAAATGAACAATGTAAGATATGCACGAAAAGAAGTCCAAAAAACTAACAAGAAAAATATGAACATAAAGGCAACAAAAAAAAGATGCATAATATATGCTGTTTATTGAGAATTTAGGAACAAATACCATGTGTATTTAGTAGGGAAAAATTGGGAGGAATGAGGGAAAGCTATGAGAATTCCTCTTATTTGAAATATAGATAATGTTCAAATAAATTGCCAATTTTATTTTCAGTCCCTTTCTTTTATATCATTCCTTCTATTTCTATTTCATCCTACTAAGTATGCCGCTTGTATTAACACGGAAATTGGTTTATAGAAATACTACATTTCAGTGAGAAAAGTTAGGCTTTTAGGCAGAATGCTTGTAATGCAGACTTACATTCAGGAAAGATGTGTCATTCCAAACAGCCCGTTGAAGAACCTGCTTTGCTTTATGACTGACAAATAGTGGGGAAGAGTTCATGTCATTCACAAAGTTCTGATCCAAAAGAACATCTCCATCACCATCAGCGGCAGAGTTATACCGGGCATAAAGAGCACCTTTAAGATCATACTGGCGAGTAATATTCCGATTGTAGGTAAGATTTTCCATCACCATGAGGTCATATTTAACCTCTTTTCCACTTTTGACATGTCTTTTAGTAACCTGCATTGAGATTGAAATGCTTAAAATCCCATGAAGCAAGTACAACGACGACTTAAATATATTTCCAGTTCATGATAATATAACACCTTTACTTTAGTCTCCCTATTTATTTATTTATTTTCATTTTTAGTCCCAAAAATTATAAAAATCATGTGCTTCCATTCCCTATTTACAGACTAAAGTACTGTCAAACTTAGGAACTAAAAATGAAAAAAGAAAAAATAGGGACTAAAATCTAAATAAATAAATAACAGCTAAAGATGCATGAGTTTTGCACAAGATATGTACTAAACAGCTAAACAGGAGAAAAGTTGGCAAATGGAGAAGAAAAAGATATGTACTAAACAGCTCACCAACCTGGTATATCCCCAAGACTTTTGCAAGACAAGTTTGGCTTCCAGACTCAAATGACTCTCTCATGTGTTTGAAATACAGAGAAGAAAACCCCAAAAATGATTCAAGTTCTGTCTTCTTGATTTCCTTTATGATGAATCTGTCATCAAGCGTTTTTGCAAAAAAGGACTTGCTTTTTCCACCTTTGGCATCCCAATTCCTACAGCGGCTTAAAGAAGCAATAAAATCAAGCTCAGATGGGCAACACCAATTCCTAAGTTCACGGAACTGCTTAAAATAGTGACATATCACTGAATATTTTTCCCTTCCAAGTGATTTGGCATAACCCATAGCAATCTCTATGCTATGGTTTTCTGTAGCACGAGAGGCACGTGACTCTTCTGAAGAAGTGCTTCCTGTAGAATGCACAGAATCTGAATCTGAAGAACCCCTTGAAAATGAGAGTGAAGTTAAGGTAGTGCCGTGGGTCAAGCCATGCAAACTTTCTGTTGAGTTTGAATTTATTCCACTTTCATGTCTATCATCTTCATCATCAACTTCAGGCACCTCATATGCATCTTTCAACAAGGCCAGTGCACAGGCAATTATGCTTGAGGGTTCGCCCTCGAAGTCAGACACAACATGATTATCGGTCTTGAGAGGGATATGCAACCTTGTACCTTCCTCAGTGATTAATTGATTGGCTGTGGGTATATATTCAGCAATAGAGCTGCTTACAAATTCAAATTTTGGCAATAATCTTTTCTGGAATTCCCTTATGCTTATCTGCCGAATGTCAGCAAATGGCTTCCAGAACCAATCATTTGAATCCAGAAAGTTGGAAACTGGTGAATTCATGGAAGAACTTTTGTTTAATACCTTTAAATCAGCAACTGGATGATTAGCTTGAATATCTGAAGAAACTGCAGAATTCTCCTGTACTTCAAGATGATTTGGTACACCATCCGCTGAAGGGAACTGAGGGGAAACATCCAGACTCAATTTCAAATTTTGGTCAGAAGATCTCTTGGATCTGAAATCATCAACAATTGGTATCTTCACATTCTGTATGTTAGATGGATCATCCTGCTGTTCGTTGCACTCCAGAAGAGGTCCATTAATAGGAATTTCCTTTACCGGTAGTTCATTTACTTCCGCAGATGTATCAAATATAATTTTTACATCCCCATCCCCATCTTGCATATCTTTCTCAGAGACATTAGATTCAAGCCTTAAACCATTAGGTGAGTGTAGTGGATACAAGCGTTGAATCCACACATAGGATGCAATCAAAAGATCCCACATCAATCTGTTTAAACTGAGAAGTTTGAAGGCAGCCTGGTCTGGATTCCCCATTTTAGCAACGGCAGTCTTGATGTTTGCCTATTATCATCACACAAGAAGTCAAAGAAAGAGGAAATACGTATTCATACTAATCACAATATGCCAAGCTTACATTAAGGGGAAAAACTAGAATCAAAAGAAATGAAAATCAAAAATTAATGTATCACTAGCAACAAATTAAATCTTTCTACATTATGTGTTACACTAAATTAAATCTTGCGTTGGCAAAAAAACTTCTGGTTAGAACTTTAGTAGTAGCAATATCAATCCTAACACTTTTATTGTACTACTTCTATCACAGACTTTGTCACTGTCATTACATGTATTACTATCTTAGTTATTTTCAATATTGTTAATGTATAAAACAGAATAGTCTTCAGTAAGTTACGGCATGTCATATTAAACAAATATGAATCCAAATTTAAGGTTATAGCTAGAAAAAAGAGATTTAGGGCTCGCAACTTTTAGAAGCACATTCAGATTAGGACTTAAGTTGATTGCATCTCAAAAGTAATGTCTAAATCATTTCAAACAGAAATCTAACCTCAAACTCTTCTTGCTCTTGCTTTAACATCTTCTCAACCTCAGAGAAATCTCTAATTCCTTTAACATCAAATTGTATTGTCTTCAAACAGTTTGCAACTTCTGTGAATAATGATATGCCCTTCATATACACCTTAAAACAGAGGGGGAAAAAAGAAATTTTAATGCAGGGAATGTATGAGGATTAAGAACATAACTAGGCCCAACTTGTGTATATAATATTTCAGTAAGTACAAAAGAAAGAAATATGGATACAAAAATAGCCTAATAAGGAGTATACATTCTCGGTCTCTTTCAAAAGCCACTCTTGTCTCATTGCACCACTGAATTCCAGCTTTCGTGGAGGCATAGATACAGTATATGTGTTGACAGAAGAATATCTGAACATAGCAACCATGTGTCCTAATCTGCATAAGGAAAGACACCATAAAACCCAGCTTCAACAATAGATAACATGCAAGGTAAACATTCTGGCAACCCTTCTTAAGTTATTAAGCCACAAGTCACGGAGTTCAGTAAAGTACATGGGTAGCACTTCAAATTTGTAACAGTGTGAAAGGAAATCAAGTAAATATTATGCAAAAACCTAAAATCATAATCAATAGAATTTAGAAGCCAAGGTAGACATGCTAATAAACAATACTTCTGCTTCTCTAAATCAAATATTGAACATAAACATAAATAAGTACAAAGTATATTATACTCTAAAAAGGAATATGTAGATCATTTTACCCAAAGAAGTAGAGAAAATCTCTGTCAAGAGAATGGCCACAACTCAACTTTCTGCTAGAAGAATAGTGAGAAAGGCTTAGCTCCAAAAATTTTCCAAAAGATAGACTACGGGCAGTAGTAGATATCAACACTCTCTTTGTAGAACCAGACTTGCATTTACGACAGCGGCTCCACATCCAAATTTTGCCTTCTGCCTCCCCAGGCAAAATTTTTTCCTCGGGCAAGTGTTTAACTTGTATGGTAAGCTGTTTATTGCGATGAGCATAATAATAAAAGTGAGCATCTGGCAATTCTTGACAGGCATCACAAAGTCTTGTCTGTATATAAAACAACAATAATCAGTTAGAACATAAACCTAGTCCAACCTCATTTTGCAGAGAAAATACACAAAAAAAAATGATATTGAATTTGAAAACTTCCACATACTTGCTAACTGCGACCATACATTTTTCAAATGAACTTATTTAGAATCATGCTCTTTATCGTATGATTACCATTTGTCAACTAAATAAAGCAAATGAGGAGAAAAAAAATAAAAAAGCAATGAAAACCTGATTGAGTAAGTTATCCTCCAAAAACTTTCCAAGTGGAATATCAAAATTCTTGTAGAACATAATATGAGAAAAATGACTTTGCTGGCATACAGTCCCTCTTAAGGCATTCCGTGTAGACATCAAGACCAAAATACTCTGAGAATCCAACACTGCATTGATGTCATCCTTACTTTGGAGTTCTTTTCTACCACTATCATCATCTTTACTTATACTCCCACTGGAATCTAAGTAGACAGGTGAAGACAGGGATTGTCCACCATTAAGTAACTTCACTTCATTAGAATTGTTTTCTGCTTCGATCATGGTATTTTCATCAGCCTCTGGAGAGTTAAAATTAGAAATTGACTGGTTAACCTGATCATCAGGTTTGCTTTCATTGAAGCCAAAGTATGCTGATAAAGATTGAAGAGGAGCAGAAGATGCAATGGGAAAACTGTCCCCCATAACTTTCTTAAGAGATGAAATAGCTGAGAACCCAGGAACTGAATTATATGGTTCGCAAGGAAATGAGCAAAACTCCTCAGATTCTAAGTTTAAATCATTGATGCTTTTTTCATGAAGTCCATCGCATATGGGAATATCAGTACTAACTATTCCATTTTCAGGAGAATACTTAAGTGATGGAATGCTTGAATTAATGGATGCTGAATCACAGGAATTTTTATTAGCAGACAAGGTGACCAAACTAACTGCAGGAATGGTAGAGAACATTGCTTTCTGATCAACAAGAAAGGAGGTTTCAAGAATTAAGTGATATGCCATGACAACAGCACACCGCATGACACACTTAATCCTCTTAAGTTCATCACTGGTTGTTCCTTTCAGTAAAATCTGTAATTACAGGTAAAGCTGAAGTTAATAACATCCAAAACTCCAGATAAAAACCATTTTCAAGAAGAAAGGCTATAAACTATAACTTCACATTCATGTCATGGCAGAGGATGGTAGCAAAAATCAATAATATTTGACATTATACACCAACAGAAGCACAAAGGTAGAGAGAGTAGAGGATAATAGCATGTTTGAAACGTCATTTGCAACTGCTGATGTAAATAATATTTTCACATCAATTCAGATAAAGATGCAGAAGCTAGAAGAAATAGCTTCACTGTTGAATTAAATTTCTACATCTTAAATGTGTAACCAAGTCAAGCCTTAAATATCTTGTAGGAGAAGCTTGGAAATAAAGGATTATAACCCGATTTTAACTGACTACTATGCTGATAATAACGAATCAAAAATTGTTTGAAATTTCCTGTACAACAAAGTCAGAGACAATAATACTCCTCAGGCATTATACTGATATATGGAAGCATCTATTCATTGAAAAATGAGATATGGGTAGTTTTTAATGTTTAACAAACATGATACATAGTATACAACAATCATATGATATGCAATAATGCAGTTTATTTGTTGTCACAAACCAACTATCCCAAAAGCTCAAGTTATTAGTTAAAGACACAAGATGATTTTATATTAAGCCTATCTGGTCTTAATATTGGGACACCCTTTGATGTCCAATCCTGTAAATTTGACATTCTAGATGTCTAGTCCTGGGCATGAAGAATGTGTTAAGATGCCCCACATGAGCTGTTAGGAGAAAATACATTAATGCTTTTATTTTATATTTCTAACATTTACTTTCAAAGTGAAAACCAGCATCTAAATGTGTTGATTTAATAAATTCCATATACACCTGTGGTCCTGTAATTGTAGTATGGTATCTACATCTACATTGATGCTTCATAATCATAGCATGCTGAAGAGACAGAATGTTCAACTATACAAGCTAATGTGCTTTCAAATGAATGTATGCCAATAAACGCATACAAATTTGCAGTGTCACAAAAGATGAAGAATACGTTAAAATAGTTTGGAAGCTTAAGAATTAGAATAAATAAGAAAACAGAGATTCCTAACTACTAGTGATGGCATACCGTGCAGCCCAAACGTGTAGGGCAGCCCTCAATGAACATCAATGTTTTGATTGGCTTCTTTCCTCCTTCACCAACGCCATCATGTTCCTCCACAAACTTCTCAAAATAAATAAAGTCACAGTGTCTTAGTTTTTGACCGTTCAAATTATCACATGATAAAATTGGTGAACCAGTACAGCGTGCAACTCTTTCTAGACGATGAAGCTTCATATCAAGCACAAGTGTCATTCCCTTTGCCAAAATTGACTCTTGTATATCACGAGAAACAGTCTTCTCCACCAATATAACATTTGGATGGCACATTTCTATACGATCCATTTTAGATTTCAGATCATCTTTCTCCTGTAAGCAAAGAAATAATCAGCTACTGAATGGAATGCTGATAAGGACAGAATCCAATCTATCTAATTAAGTTACCTGGTCCATGGAGTCAAATGACGACAGCCCATTAATAGAATGGCCAAGCACACCACTAATCAATAATAATCTTGGATTTTTATACTTAGTTGGCATATGCTTGTGAGCAGCATGTTTTTTGAAGACTAAACCTCTGATTAGTTGACTGCAACAGAAAATATTTTCTTTAAAATTTGCTATTTATGACTCATAAAATTGCATGCTAATTGTATATGCTCAATTTTTACTTAAATGTTTATGAGACAGGAAAGACTCCCAATGAGTTCACAATAGTAGGAAAAGAATATCAAAGTAAAGCAGGTAAAACATATGGCTAAAGGAAATGCCAAGCTGAAAAGATCAACAATAATTGAACTCTTTGTGGTTCAAAAGGGGAAAAAATTAAATTAAAAAAAAAAGTTCTTAAATAGCTAAGGGGGAAAAAACACCTTGATAATCACATAATACACGATTTCTCAAAATCATAAGCATAGTACCATAAAGCCATTATGCATTTGAGACAAAACTCTCAAGTAAAAACACCACCATGTACTAACTGGTTAAGTTCTGGTATATAAAAACAATAAATAGAAAACCAGAAAGCAAATTCTTAATGAACAAATTATTTTTACCTTTGGCTGCAGGAACCAGCAGCAATGCACTTCACTTTAACATATCCATCAGGATTCATTGCATTACCTCCAATTGCATCAGGCTTCAAAAATGAAGCAGCTTCCCATGATAAAGATGTAACAATGTCCACCCAACTCTTATCACCTTCATCACAAGAGGAAACTCCCACAGACTTAAGAAGCTGACCAACAAGTGCCTTGAATTTCCCATTCATTACTTCCTCCATTGCTCTTTGTTTTTCCTCTTTGAACCTATAGCTCCCACCTAATTCATCCTCAGAACTACTCATAGAGGTTGGCTCACCCCAGTTTGCAATCCCTATGCCTTGGTCTTCATCGTCATCATTACAAGTCAAACTATTTTCCATATCATCCTGTGGGTTTTCTGGCTCTGGAGGTTCCCAAGTTTGGACATCCAAATCATCAGGAAGAGAATATTCCGTTTCTTCAGCATAGGATGCAATAGGGTGTTCAGAACAATCATCTTTTACTTCTTTAAAGTTATGTTCTTGTGCAATCTCCACATCTCTCACTGTGTAACCCTCATTGTTATTGCTTTCTTGGGAATTGTTTTCCATCACTGTTTGTGAACCATTCAACTGATAATGAAGATCTTCCACAGCACCTTCAACTGTACTTTCTTCTTGACTATTCCTAATAGAAGAAAAAAAAATAAGTACTTGAGCATAGCTTATTTAAGCATTATATTCATACATCTGTTTGCACATAGCTAAGTACCTGTCAGATGAATTCACATCAACTGAAAACTCACCTGAAATATCAGATAACGAAGAAAGACTGGGTTATATAAAGACTGTCTTGTAATATAAGACTAACATTGTCAACATTATAAAATAAAGACTAAGGGATAGTAATTTACTGCAAGTGGAGACACAGCTATCAGTACTTTGCAAAGGTGTTGTTGGACTGATAAGTGGGGTCACATGTGGACTTGTACTATGCCATTTCAAATTTGCTCGCTCTAGCTTCTCTCCACAAGATTTGCAAGGCCTAATGGAAACTTTACCATTCAACTTTAGACTACTCTCATTTCCTTGTTTCTTGTTGTCAACATTTGAATCCGCCAAGCCCACACCACAATAATGGCACATACTACACATCCGATCCAACACTGATCCAGAAACTATATTATAAAGAGGCCTGATATTGGTCACTTATTCTAGTATATAACAAAAAGTATATCAGTACTGAATGAGTTTTGAAATTCTATTTTCCACTTTATTCAACTTATTCATAAAAACTAGCATAAAGTCAATATGATAATATTCCTACTCCATTATAAAGACCAACTAGAATAAATGAAATCCTCCAAAAAAAGTAAAAAACAGAAATATAGATGTATAAAATTCAATTTCAGTTCACTTTCCCTTCTGACTAAAGTAATAGTTATCAAACACTACATATTCAAATTAGAATTTATACATAAACTAAAACCGTCACATGTAAAGAATGAAAAGAGGAAAAAACATCATCTACCTAAACAACATCCAAAATTCGCAGTAACAATCAAACAATTATTCATTCTTATATAAACATAGAATCAAACAATTGTTTTCAGAACCTAACTGTTTCATGGAGTATAAAAAGTTCATAGAAGATTAGAAATCATTGCCCATGCTAATTAGTAATTACTTCATTTTATGGAAGACATTTTCAGAGAGAGAGAAGGCCTCTTGGTAAAATACAAACTTGTTGAAATTCATAGACTACATGAAAATGATAAAACATTAAGAAGTGCACCTAAGGCAAGAAATCAGCCTTTTTGTATGGATTGATGTGATAAACACAGGAAATACGGAACAATTTTGCAAAAAGTTGAATCAAACAAAGCTTGAGGATAATATAGCCGGGTTTCCATCGAGAGAACGAAAAAAGAAAATCTTGCTAGTCTAACAGTACACAAAAGAATCATCAATTAAGATGATATGTTGTCAATATTAATTTCCAATCAAAAGCCAACCCATACAAGATCAAAAGAATTAGTACCAAAGCACAAACAACTAAGAAGACACATATTCATTAGCCCCACGGAAATTAAAACACAAGACAGTATAAAACTCAATCAAGGACTGCAATCGCAGATTTATTTGACCAAAACCATAAGGAAAAAAATGATTTTAGATACACATTCTCTCTCATGTCAAAAACACATCAACAAAAAAAAACAAAAAAGCACCGCAGAATTTTGAATGATACAGGATTCATAACCCAAAAACTTGAATTGGAACCTTTAAAATGGAAAACACATCCAACAACTAGACACAGCTTTGAAACAGTGCATAAATGAATAAAAGCTCAAAACAGAAAGAACTTCAATAGCAAAAAGGAACCCACATAAGACTGATCCACGAAAATCAGACAAAGCATTCAATCAAATCTTGTGTCTACAATCAAATCTTCCATATCAGACCAAGATTCATCAAGAAAACTGCCATTTTCAGCTCCCAACAAGGCTTAAAATAAGAGGCCATAATTTGAAATTTAATAATAATAATAATAATAATAATAATAGAAATAAAATAAAATAAAAAGCAAGAAATGCACATCTTACCGTCAAAGCAAACCCAAGAAGAAATAGAAGGATGTGACCTCCGAATGAATCCGAGGTCCTAAACCCGCAAAGTTGCACTGTTTTGACAAAAAAGCAAAGAATTTGGTGTGAAGGAGTCAAAGAAACGGAGCCACATAGGCAAAGTCGCAATCTTTTAGGAGGAAAGAGAAGAGGGTAAGCAAGAGAAAGGAGAGATATGAAGAATGGAAGAATTGTTGAAGGGAAGAAAAATGACCAAGAGAACTGTGAGGAAGAGAAGAAGAAGAAGAAGAATAAGAAAACACAAGGAAGAAAATTTTACCTCTGTGGGACCCACTTCATTTGCTTGCTTGCCTCCGAAAAATATCAAAAAATCTGTTATTTATTTTTAAAAAATTCTTATGTACAAGAAAATGTAACATGCTACTTATTACACTATTTATTTCATTTGTTACTCGCAACTCGCAGGGTCGCGTGTTCCTTATACTCACACCTACATACGCTAGATTTTGGGGTGCAATCTTTGTCCAAAATACGTGCTTATGTACGCGTCTCCCGTGTCAAAGGTATTTTCAATGCCTTAATATTGCAACTACGGCCCTCAACATTTTCCATATTTCATTATTCGCCCTCCATCCCTCTTCCCTCTTTTTATTTCACTTTAAAACTCATCATATTGTAAGATAAAGTAACAAGTATGTAAAATGCCATAAATATCTTCAATAAAAAAATGCAAGAATAAGAGTAAGGTGGTTTTTTTTTTATGATAGTACCATTTTCCTTTTTTTTTCGTTTTGAATTAACATTTAACCATTGAAACCAAAATGAGGGAGGAAATACTTGCAATACACTTTTTAGTAGTTTAGTTTTCGTCTTTCTCATTTTATCATTTCAAACATACCATAAATTTTCAAGAGTAGTGCTCAAAAAGCACTTGCAATTGTATCCAACATTTTTTAGCTAAGATAGCTTTCAATCAGGACTAGATGTATTTGATGAAGGAAGATCCTCTCACCATGTACTTCATTTATTTCTTTCTATTGTGTAGCCTTTCGCCAATGCTCAATAATAAAACCATATTCATTTACCAGCAGGAAAAAAAAAGAGAGAGAGAAAGTAATAATTCTCTATGTATCCACATGTTATAGTCATTACCCTTAAAAAAAATTAACTAAGCGAAAACAAGTAAATACCAAATGTCAATATAAACAACCTATATATATACATTATAATATATATAATTGTAAAACAATTGAGGGAATAAAATAAATAAATATATATATATATATATATATATATAAAATAATCAAGTTCTATCAAATAAAAACTCTATCAAAGTTATCGATTAAAGAATAATTACCAAAATTATTATTAACTGTAACACCAAGCTATACGTTAATAGTGTGGCTTTAAACATTCCAAGAGCATTCAACCTAATCTACTTACTTCTGTGTAAATATGATTATCCCAATCCAATTACAAGAAAATATGTAATGATAAGTTAGTATAAGAAAAAATACAACATAATATAAATATAAAATGAAAGACATTTATACTAATTATCAACATATAATTTTGAATTTAAAAATATAAGTAAAAAAATCCTTATAACTTATAATTTTGAATTTTAAAATATAAATAAAAACATTTTAAATATTATATTGAAAATACTTTAAAACCATCATCTCCTCTCTAAATAATGAGGAGAACTAAAATTATATGAAAACTTTACTGTTCTTCATTTTTCTTCCCTTCTAAAAACACAATCAAACAACAAAAATTTATAAAAATTATCCTCCTTCACATTCTCTTTAACTAAACACTATGTAATATTTTTTTTATAGAATTATTTAGTTAAGTTACTTTTTGTATATATTAAATTTTAATAATCAAACTATTACTTTATTTTATATATGTTATCCAAATGCTCATCATGCATATTAAATTTTAGATAAATTGTACACTACAATCTTATAACTAACATTTTTTTTATAAGCAAAAAACATAATATTAAGAAAAGGGAGTGCAAAGGATACTCTAACCTATATACAAAGTTAAGACAATTACTGAATACATATCAATGATTCATTTAACCAATTTATGTATACTAACTGTCCCTCGTTCAAACCCGCTATCAATCATTTGTAGGACTTATATTTGATAGCTATTTCTATGTAACCAAATACTTCATACCACATAGCTAACCAAATAATTACTATATACCTCCACTTTTTTTTCCACCCACAAAATCACACATATCCAATAAATTAAAGATCATCTAAACACTTTAGCATACATGAAGAGAAGCCCAACCAATACATTAAATCATACATCAAATTAAATATTAAATGAATATGCATAAAAAAATTATTAATGAATTATTTAATAATTTTAACATTTTACAAAACAATGTAAATTTAATTTATTCAATAAAAAATTAAATTTAATAATTGGATTATTAAATTTTAGCGTATACAATGAATAATTGAATGAAAAAGCCTACAAAAATTTACCAATATCATTTATGCAATTTAAATTTATAATACAGCATTTTAATCACAAAAATGTAATTTATCAAGAGATAGTCTAAAATATTTAATTTGTAAAAAACTGTATATAATTATTCTCATGACAACTGGTATCACGATCAAATAAAACAGCACTTGATAAATTTAAATGTATATATACATATATTTTAAAAGATAAATCAAATCGAAAATTTTTCATAATATTTTACATAATTATACTCGCGATAAGTAATATATTGAAATTTTACAGACCTAAAACAAAAAGATAATAGAACATCATAAAATAAAATGATCCATGAAATATACTAATTTAATTAAAATACAAAAAAAAAAAACCAGCATCGGTTTAAAAAAATTAATTATTCAATAATTTGCACAATCATGTCCACGATGTATGAATTTATAATTATGCAAATAAAATCAATAATACTATATAAAATATGATAATTAAAAAGTTGTATTACGTATATAAATCTAACTATAATGTAAATATATAATAACTAAAGTACGGACCATCAAAGCTGTCAAAAATTCATTGACCAAAATAAGCTAATCGATCGGAATGGAGTACAACAGAAAATAATGTAATTTTTATGTAATTGCTTCTGTATGTTAATGTAACTATTACAGTAATTATGTTGTTCAATATTTTATGTATAACGTTATATTAATTTATTTTATTTTTTGGTAATAGGAGACAACACAATAAGAAAGAAAATAAACAAAACTATGAATAAGAAAGAAAATAAACAAAACTATGGTGTCAAGAAAAATACATGATCTCTATCATCATGAAGAACATCTACTAAAATAGATGGAGGTTTTTCGAGCACAATCAAATGACTATTTGCAAGGAGTTATTTATTGACGAGAATATCAGCATACTTATTCTCTTCCCTTAAAGTGTGCATAAATTCTACCTTCCGGACTTCTTTCATAAAATCTTTAATGGATTCAATAAGGGTAACAAATGCATGAGATAAAATGGTGGGTTGCTTAATTAATTGAAGCGCATGCAAAGAATCGGAAACACATACCACATCCTTATAGTGCAATTCCCAAGCCAAGTGCAGTCCCTGTAATATGACAATTAATTCAACATGAAGGATATTAAAGTAGCTAATGTTCCCATAAATCCCTCTAACCCAACAACCATGAGAATCACAAATAAGTCCACCTAACCATTAGATAATATAATTAAAAAATTATCAAATTAGTTGTATTTATTTATTTTAAAAATATATATTATGCTAATTTCAATTTATATGAATGAGATGTCATATAAATATATATATATATATATATATATATATATATAATTTAGTTAAAATAAATTTTCAATTTAATGATAAATTTTAAGAAAATGTCATTCAATTAAAAGTTATTAAACCATATAATAATTATAAAAAAAATTATACTGATTATTCTTTTGTATATATCTTCGACAATTTTTATACTATATTAATCTTACATCAAACATTTTGTTTAATCTTCTTTTTGAAAAAAAAATGATTTTTAATATAAAAAAAACTTTATACTCTGTTGATGTATTTGGTTTATTTATTTTTTCTTAAAAAAATTATATTTTCTATAAGAAGTAAATCCTACTTACTTCTTACATAATTGCTTTAAAAAAAATAGAAACATTTTTTTTTAAAATTTTAAACAAACCGACTTTTTTTTTCTTAAGGGTAATTTGATTTGAAAATTAAACTTCAAAGGAAGGATAGATGCAAAGCGATAAAATTATGAAGATACATCATACATATTTGTTGAGGTGGATCTAACACTAAAACAGGATTAAGTTTGAAATTCAAAAAAAGTAGCTACATGCTGAGGTGGGACCAATAATAGTAGCACTAACAGATATTTAAGCTTTAATTATCTACTTTGGAAATATTAATAATAATAATAATAATAACAACATGTGAAAACTGGCATTTTTATGAGTAAAAATTAATTGAAGTTAATATTTATAAAAAGATGCATGATATGAAAATACGCATGCAGTCATAAATTAAGAAAACAGTGCTTGAACAAGATTCGCATTGTTCAAACAATTAATAGATAAAATAAAACGATATTCTAGATAGATTCAAAAATATCAACTTAGAAGAATTATAATATTAAGTATATTGTTCTTGTTTGAAATATTATAAATTTTACTTGAAGTCATTATAAAAAATAGTTTAATTCTAGTTATTAAATTTGTTAAAAGTAATGTAGTTAATTTTAATTAACCTTCTATTATTAAAAACTAAAACCAAATATTTATGTTAAATATAGGAAGTAAAAATGAATATTTTTCTAATGAAATCAAAATTAATAATATTTTAGGATGTCAAAATTAATTGCTTATATAAATTGAAAACCTAAAATATATTATCTATTGATGTGAGCTAATTTTTATATATACAGTATAATGGAGTTTAACCATTGTGATGTAACCATGGTTTTGATCTATCTTCTTTATTATCGACCCAATTAAAAATTGTTCAAGAAAGTAAGGTGGAATTGCTAACGAAGTTTACAAGAAACAAGGATCATGTCACCTATATCCACATTTACTAATAAAAAGAAGAAGAAGAAGAAAAATGAGTAAAGAGAATTGTAAGTTTAGAAATCCATTTCACCCTTTTAAATGGAAAATTTCACCTTTCAATATATTAATGTTTTGTTTAGGTAATGAAAGATTTTGAGGAAAAAATACAACAAAAATAAATAGAAAATGAATGAATTTTTAAG